CACTAAGTTGCTGAGGCTGGCTTTGAACTAATAATCCTCCTGCCTCAGTCTCCCGTGCCACTGTGATTACAGGTGTGCATCATCCCATCTGGCAATATGTATAATTACTATGTGTCAATTAAAAAACAAACAAGAACAAACAAAAAGACAAGAGGAAAGAAGCAAAACAAAGCACTGAAAGTGTCACTTAAGCTGTGAGGACCTGTAACTCAGGCTCTCCATTACTGGGGCAGGCCTGGGTCATTCTGGTAAAAAGTTATGAAAAACAAATATACTTCCTCACACTGATTTAAGATTATGAGATATGTGGTTTGATTATTTTTTAGAAATAACTTTTAAAAAGTTATTGACAATTGGTGATTCTTGTAGTTATAGAGATCCTGGGAAATCCTCTGAGGATGCCCTGAGCTTGGGAAACATCACCACAGCTTTGGGAGCCTTGGCAGCTCTGAAACTGGGCCTGGAAGGAAGATGTCTTCATGGCAGTGCATGGTGTTTATAAGTTTGAATCTTATTGCATTCTGCCCTTATTGTTCTCTAAAAATGAGTGGGAAAACAAATAACTTTTGCTGAGACAAGTGATAATAAAATTGAGGCAAAGTTGGAAGCTTTAGCAATTGTTGAAATCAGCAAAACTTTGGCCTCAAGCACAATTTGTGAAAGGAAGTCCAAAATTAATGATTATGTATGAAACGTGATACCATTCAAGATTGTGTCTGAAAGATAAGATGTGAAGAAAATGGAGGAAACGAAAAGACCTTTAAATTTTTGCATTAAACAGAATCATCAAAAAAGTTATTTTGTGGTTCCAAATACAGAGAGAAGTTCACAAACTCACTGAACAGACGACAAGGTGCTGCAGGTCGCTCAGTACGAGAGGGAGAAAGCTGCCTTTCAACCTGGCTTGACAGCCTTTGCAAGGAAGTAAGTAAATCAGCCTCAAAGTCAGTAATCACCGTCCTTGGCCTAGTGTCCTCCAAGGGCACTGTCCATATGTCAGAATTAATTTTTTTCTGTCCATTAAGCATTAGCTTGAGTAAATTTAAGTAATTTTTTTTGTTTAGAAAAGTTTTATATTGTTTATTCTTGAAAATCTACGTTTTAAATGTTTTAAATAACTGTCACTTATAACACAAAATAATTTATGCCATAGGTGGAGATTCTGTCGTGTGTGTGCGCGCGCGTGTGTGTCTATGTATAAACAAATAAATTAATAAATCTTTTGTGCTGGGGATTGTACCCAGGGTCTGTCATATTTTAATCTTTAGTGTGTTTCTGAGCTTTTTTTTTTCCAAGTTGGTGCATTGTTTTTCAAGACGGCATATTTGTACATGCACATAATATAGTTTGATCAATTTCAATCCCCATTACCTCCACTTGCCTACCCCTTCTCCCTTCCTCTGGTCCCCTTACTTTGCTGGACTGGTCTCCTTTCTATTTTCACAAGATCTCTAGTTTCCACATATGTGAGAAAACATATGACTCTTGACCTGAATCTGGCTTATTTTTCTTAATATGGTACTCTCCTCTTTCAACCATTTTCATGCAAATGACATAATTTTGTTCCTCTTTGTGGTTGAATAAAGCTCTAGTTTGTATATATACCACATTTTCTCTACCCATTTATCAGTTTAAAAACACTTAGGCACTTTCCAGACTTGGCTATTATGAATTGTGCCATTATAAACCTGTGTATGCATGTATGCTGACCTTAATTCTGTGGTTAAATACTGAGGAATGGTATCATGGTCATAAGGTGGTTTCTGTGTCTGATCTTTTGAGGAGCCTCCACTGGTCTCCACAGTGGCTGAAACAATTTATCATCCTACCAACAGTATATTAGTGTTTCTTTCCCCCCATAGCCTCACCAGCATTAACTGTTGTCTTCTTGATGATTGCCATTCTAATTGGAGTGATTCACATTTTTTAAAAAATATTTTTTTAGTTGTAGTTGGACTCAATACCTTTATTTTATTTATTTATTTTTATGTGGTGCTGAGGATCGAACCCAGTGCCTCGCATATGCTAGGTGAGCACTTTACTGCTGAGCCACAACCCCAGCCTCATGATTCTCATTTCTAACTGGAGTTTTGATTTTTCTGATGGGTTGAGATGTTGAACATTTTTTTTCCATATAATTGTTGGCTATTTATACTTATTCTTTTGAGAAGTATCTGTTTAGTTCATTTGCCCATTTATTGAATGAATTTTTTTTTTGGTGTTGAGTTTTTTTGAGTTTTTTACATATTCTAGCTAGTAATCCTCTGTCACAAGAGTAGCTGTCAAAGATTTTCTCTCGTTCTGTAGGTTCTCTCTTTGCACTGTTGTTTCCTTTGCTGTGCAAAAGTTTTTAAGTTTGACACCATCCCATTTATCAATTCTTGGTATTATTTTCTGGGTCATATGTTCCTGGGCTTTCCTACATAGGATGCTTTTTTCATGTTTTTGAGAAACATTTACTTATTTATGCTTAATTGCAGAATATTTTGAATAGGCATAAAATCATACAGAATAAATAACAACCACTCATTTATCTACTTGTCAAGCTCCTCCCCAATTAAGCAAATATTAAAATATGAAGTGTTGAATGATAAGTTTAAGAAATGTTAAATAGTCCCTATCCCAACAGAGTCAATAGCTCTTCTTCATAGATTAATTTTTGCCTGGTGTTCATTATGCATTCTTCTGTCTTTCATTTAAGATGAAACTGAGTTCATTTATGTGGTTGCCTACTTCTCTAGTCTGTTTCTACTACTGCTGAGTCCACTGTATGAAGTTATATAACATTTTGGTCATCCATCCTCCTCTTGTGGGGGCCTGCTTTTTAACCAACACCTTGACCTAGGGGAGGCTACCTCCACCTCCCCAAGCCCTTGACATTCTGGGGTGGTACCCCACACTTCATGCTCCCATCGCTGTGTTGGGGCCTCTACTGCTACCTATCCAGCTTCCTTCCCTTCTACTTATGTGCAGCCCCAGGAAGCCCCAGAGAGCTAGGGGAGGGTGGTCTTCTGAAAGAAAGAAGTCAGAACCCTGTAGGTGGTGGTGGTGGGGAGAGTAAGAGGCATTTTTTTTTTTCCCAGATTGTCTTTGGCCTCTGCCCCAGGTCTGTTCTATGATTAACCAAGATCCTCTTCCCCACTTGCTCCTCCTCCCACCCCTTTGAGGGCCTGAGTCATTATTTTAACAACCCCCCAGGAGGCTGAACCCCTTCAGTGCTCTGTTGTCCTGCACTTCACTTCCCAGTCAATGTGCTGTTCAGTGATGGTTTTCAGAGTTTTGCTTCTCCTGAGTGGTGAGTTTGGGGCTTTCAGGACTGGGGAGAAACTCTGTGGAGCTGTATGTGTCTCCTGTAGGACGGGTTGGGGGCTGGCGTACAGTTCTTACAGTTCACATGAGTTGCGAAGGGAATGGTGTTGGGAGGAGAGATTGCTTGGAATTTGGAGAAATATGACCCGAATGAAGGTGAGGGGAAATGGGCTTATGAGTTATGCTCAGTGGAGAATGAACATCTCTCCAGTTAGGCGTATTTTCCAAGGCCTTTCTGCTCCCCATTTGTGGAGGCCCTGGTGTGGGTGGTGTGTAAGGAAGAGAAGTCTGCCCTAGCATAGTTCTGGGAGAGAAAGGCCATAGAAACCACCAGGGAGGTGGTCAGGATACTATCTCTCTGGGCCTGATTTTCCCCCAAGTCCTGATTTCAGACATGCTATCCTGTTGAGAATATAGTACGCAATTTGACAACTGTCAGGACCATATTCATATGTCATTTAAAAATGAGATCTCACACAAAAACTCAAGATTTCCATCTTCTCTTTAGAAATTGAAAGGCCTGGCAGTTCTTGTAACTAGATCCTGGTAATGGCTGCCCCCCCTTAGAAAAGGCACAAGCTCTAAAGGATCATTATTCCCTTGTGCTCACTTCTACCTCACTTCACTTACTGAAGTTACCTGCCTAATCCATGAGGCACTTGACTCTGTGCCTCTTGATATCTTCCCACTTGTTACATATTAAGAACTTCTTTCAGGCTCAGAAACAGAATAACTTGAGGAAAGAAGGTATGGAATGTGAAGCTTCTTTGCCTGTGGCCACAGTAGTGTCCTGACTCCCTAAACATTTGGTCTCTTCCCAGAATCCCAGCGTTCAGGTATCTCTCTGTCACCACCTCGCCAGACACTTATCCCTCTAAGAATTCCCCTATTCTTGGGATTGGAGTTGACTCCTCAATCCAGAGACAAATGGAAATTCTAGAAAAATGGGAAAGAAAGATGGCTGCTTGGGAGTAAGAAAAAACCTATTGATCTAGGGGTCACCTCCTGATGCTTTGGAGCTTAGCCACCAGCAAAGGGATTGTGGCCAGTTGAGGATTGGGAGAGCAGGTTGGGATCCTGGCTATGCCAGTGACTTGTGCTATAGAATCAGTGAACAAATAGGAATTGGACAGCTGTGAAAGGCACTATGCCAAACACTGAAAAACAAGAAAAAAAATCTTTTCCTCATGTGGCACTGAGAGAGGGGACACGAGAAACACACAATTACAAATAATTAATCACAAACTTCTAAGTCTGTTCCCCATCTGGTTCTTGGGGTCTCTGTGTAATGAGAAGATAGAACAGGATAGTCTTTATGGAGGGTGCCCATATGCCTTGGAGAAGTCCCTGTCACGTTGTTAATGGTGTCCCTTTTACTCTCAGAAGGTCCCATTTTAGACAATAAATTTTATGGGCACCTTATTTTTAAGGGACATTCGTGATCTAACATACCAGGAAGCAATTGGCAATTTCATATCCTGGATACCCTTTGAAGTAACTTTGAGGGAGTATTTCCTCAGATTGTTGTCCTTTGCTTCAAGGTTTGATCATTTTTGAGGTAGGGAGAGGGTTGGGAACCACGCAGATGGCAAATCAGTAGGCACAGTAGAAGGAGTGGCTTGGTCCTCCTGGGCAGGTGAGAACCAAGTTGGAGTGGGGTGGGATATCAAGAGTCCAGGAAGACAGAGAGGATGAGGCTTTTAGAATCACCTCCAAGTCCCTACTCCGTGTATTCCTCAGTCCTGGCTTCTTATCATGGATTCAACTTGTATGTGGAGAAGCCCACAGTCTTCAGCGAGAATGCAACTGGCTTTGGGCAGACCGTGGTGCAGTTTGGTGGATCTCGGTAAGCCCTGCTCACTTCCCCACCGCCATTCCATTGGGTCCTGTAGGAAGATGGCTGCCCGTGGCATCCTAAGAGTTGTCCTGGAGGAAGGGTGGCCTGGGTGAGGAGTCTTCCCATGTCTCTTCTGAGGCCTCTGACACCACCATATGTATTATCACAATCCCAGGAAGGGCCACAAAACCTTAGGAAAGATCCATCCTTGAGAGGAAAGCCTTGAACCTGCTGTCCAGATAGGGCAGCTTCTTGGCGGGCAAACTGTGTAGTTGCACAATGCCCATACTCATTAAACTGGGAGTTTGATGATCTGCTCTCAGGCTCTTGAAATTCTTAATGACTTTATGTTTGTAGATATATATTTTCTAAGTAAAGTCTGATGGGAGGGTGGAGATGTGTTAGGGGTTTAGGGTCCTCACCTTATGAGCAGTCCACCTTCCACCACCTCCTTGGAAGGAATTTCAGCTGCCTGCTCCCTTACCCATGTCCAGTGACTGCTGGTGCCCTCCTCCCCTGGCATGAGCTGGACAAGGTCAGAATTGGGTGCCTTCGCCTGGTAAATATCCTGGAGCTTGAGGGAGTGTGACACTAAATAGAAAATAGAATGTACCAGAGAGGGAGGGAGGAAGAAAAGGGGGGGGGGGGGGGAGAGAAACAGAAAAATGGACAAAGCTCTTCTCAACCCCAAGAGGCTCCACATTTTCATCTTGCATTGGGACCCATAAATTATGTACTATCCCTGCCCCCCAGGAGTTCCATTCTCTTGTTCCAAAGATGGGGACCCAAGGAGTTCAAGTCACCATGTGATGCAGGTGTGACAAAAGCATGGGAAGGCCAAGAGGGGAGAGAGCAAACCCAGGAGGGGAATTCCAGGAGGCCCACAGAGGAGGTGGTGTTGGCTGAGAGCCAGAGAGGACAGGTTTTTGATTGAGTTTCAGAGGTCACTGGGTTCTAAATGAACATCCCTCCCGCTTCCTCACCCAGCCACAAGGCTGGGGAGATAGAAGCAAGTTTCAGGTGCTAGGTACAGGGATTTTATTTATCTAGATATCTATCTATCTTAGAGATGTGATGCATACACCAAAGTGCATAAATCTGAAGGTTCCAATTCAATGATATTTTTGGGGGGGAGATACTGGGGATTGAACTCAGGGGCACTTGACCACTAAACTACATCCCCAGCCCCATTTTGTATTTTATTTAGAGACAGGGTCTCACTGAGTTGCTTAGTACCTTGCGGTTGCTGAGGCAGGCTTTGAACTTGTGATTCTCCTGCCTTAGCCTCCCGAGCCACTGGGATTACCGGCATGCTCCACCATGCCTGGCCCCAACTCAATGATATTTTTATGCTTGTGTATACTTGGGTAACTACCACTTAGATCTGGCCTTCCCCCGGTCCTGCCCCTCCTAACCACTCAACAAATGTAATCACTGTTCCAGCTTTCATCACCATTAAATTGTTTTCAGACCCTATTAATAAAAAGGGATTACAACACTGATTATTATTTACCAATATTAATTACCAATATTATTATTTACCAAACAATATCAATAAACATTAAATAGTTGATGATATTCTAATTACTACAAAGTTATTGTTCTTCCTGGCTTCTGTTGAATTATAATCCAAATATTTAAAAAATTGAATGCACCTGTAAGGAATGGGTTGGATAAAGAAAATACTTGCAGGTTGACAGTTTAGACTAATGCTTGTTCTGCATTTATGCCAGCAGCTTTGGATCCAAAGCTGCTACTCCTCTGGCCATCTGTTAGGTTTTCATCTGAAAAGTTTTAGATATTCAATGAGTCATGATGCAAAGGAATTGTGACTTTCTGTGAAGAAACAGCTCTCCTAAAGGAACCCTAAAACTGTCCATTTAACTAAGCCTTGCTCAGCTAATTAAAATACCCCAGTATTTTGTCTAGTTTTCTCCTCTGGGTGGGGAAGTTGTTGGTAGTGATGTTTCCAAAATTTAAAAAAATTTTCTTAGGGAATTTTGCAAATAAAATATTTGCATGAATATGATAATAGATGTGGATATGGATTCTGATATAGCTCCTATAAATTGTGCACCCAATCTAAATTGTTTACATTGTGTTTAAATTAGTTCAATTGTTTGAAAAATCAACTTTTTTTGTTTTTTTAAAACGTGTGGCTTCATGAAATTGTTCCATTTAACTTGAGGTGATTATTTGGGGGGTGGTTCAAAATGATAGCATCTCAAAAACACAATGTACTTACCAGTATTTGGGAAATGTCAGTTTTATTTTCAGATAGTTTTTCAAGGGGCAGGTCCGGGGGGCAGGTAGGTAAATGTTGTAAATGTCCAAAACATTTATATATCCAAAATACATAAATATTTTTATGTGTGCATACTGAAAATCAAACGAAAACCCGAGCATGGTCCTTAGCATTTGTAGTTAAACTCAGGCCCTGATTTTTGAACTGCCGCTCAAGAAGCAAATACCAAGAACTTCCCTCACAAAGTCTCACTTCCTCTTTGCAAGATACCTCCTTGCTTCCAATCTGCCATTCTCACACCTCCTTCTACTCTTTCATGGTTATACCTCTAGGCTTGTGGTAGGAGCCCCCCTGGAGGTGGTGGCGGTTAACCAAACAGGACAGTTATACGACTGTACGTTTGTCAACGGCACATGCCAACCCATCTCATTACACAGTGAGTGATGACCCTGATATCGGGACCCTCCACTCTCCTAGGCCCAAGCATCCCCCCTCAGCAGCTTCCAGCCCAGGCTCTCCCCCTAAATGAAGGTATGCTGTTGAGTGTAACCATGTGTATCTGTCCTCTCAGTCGCACCAGAGGCTGTGAACATGTCCTTGGGCCTCTCCCTGGCAGCCTCCAGTAATGGCTCCTGGCTGCTGGTGAGTTGCTCTGGGTCACAGGAGGGTTACGAAGGGAGAAGCAGGGGCTGGGGGAGGCTGGGGCAGAGAGGAGGGGAGAAGGAGGGGGACTGGAGGCCTGCTACTCACAGGTCTCTATCTCCAGGCCTGTGGCCCAACTGTGCACAGAGCTTGTGGGGAGAACATGTATGCAAAAGGCTCCTGCCTCCTTTTGGGCTCCCATATGCAGATCATCCGGACAGTCCCAGTTGCCCTGCCAGGTAGGTCTCTTGGAGACAGGGATTCTCTGAAGACATGCTGGCATTGAGGAGTGGGTGGAGCATGAAGCCTTCTTAGCCCTCTGTGCCCATGTTCCTCTCCTGGAGGACTGTGTGTGGCTAAGCAGAGGCTCAGCAGGTCCAAGAGGGTGGGAGGCCTCAGCTGGTAGAGGGGGAAAAGGTCTAATGAAGGGAGAGAAGCCCATGCATTGACTGTGGGAGGTCTGAGGGTCTTACAGTTGCCGACAGGTGTATGGACACTTCTTGGATTTCAGATAAAAGGCCTTAGATGGTAAAAACATGCAGTAAGGATGAGAAATACATGAAGAGGCAGTTCTGGATGGTTCCCTGCTGCACTGCCAGGATTCTCCAAAGGAACTCTTCCCCTGTAAGGGGAGCAAATGTCAGAGTTTTGAGAAGTGTGATGGACAATTTTATCAGTGTCAATGTCTTCCACAGAGTGGGACCTTGGCCATGACAGCAGCATCTCTCTGAGAGTCAGTCTGCATAATGGTGGTAACCAAGTTTAAATTTTCCACGTCCATGTGCAACAGTTTAATTTCTATGCTTCAGTTTCCTCACTGGTAAAATGATGCTTAATAATCATGGTGATTGTAGGGATAAGGTCGTGGCTCAGTGGTAGAGCACTTGCCTAGCATGCATGAGGCACTGGGTTCAATCCTCAGCACCACATAAATAAATAAATAAATAAATAAATAAATATTAAAATATAATAATCATGTTGATTATAAAGATTAAAGGATTTAATGTATATAAGGTACCTAGATCCCTGCCTGGCACATAATAAATATGTAATAGCTCTTATGATCATCTTCAAGCTGAGGACTCTTATCTTAGGACTAAGAGGAGGATACAGATAAACTTCCTCATCTGTGATACAATTAGGAATTCCAGCGGCTACTCAGGATGCTGACTGAGAACAATGCTTTAGATTAGAGAAGACACAAAGCCAGGCATGGTTTTGTGGTGGGCTTTTCACCAAAAATTAAGCAACAGAAGAAATATACTGAAACCAAATTGTGAGAAAAAAAATCTATACAGGAGACAGAATGGAAGAGGGTTGTCCAGGGGCCTTGGGGAGGGGGACTATGTCCAGTCTGAGATGTCTGTGAAGCCAGGGATAGGTCATGTGGAATTTAAACATGAGGAAATAGCTGTCTTCTCACAGATGTTTCTGGAACTCCTAGTGTGAGATACCTAATGAAAATGAACATAGGATCAGAAACCTGGCACAGCAAGGCAGGTTTGGGTAGAGATGGAAAGGTTCACTGAGGTCCACTGAGTACCACCAGAGTACCAGGAAGTCCATGGTGCCTGATAGACATCATCTTATTACATCCTTACAAGATCCCTGGGTGGTAGACTGGATGATTCCCATTTAACAGGTAAAAACACAGATTCAGAGAGATGAGTTCCCACCAGTAGAAAGAGGCAGAGCTCAGAGCTTGAGCCAACATTGCTGACTGCCTTAGACCTTTTTCAAAAGGTGCTCAGCTCCATCCAACCAGCTGTTGGAAGCCCTGTGGATACAGTAGGAGGAGCAGGAAACAGGAGAGATATTGTGATTAAAGCTTGCTTGTTTGATAAAGGACAAGGGTGATGATTGCAAGGTATGGGTGAAGGAGGGGTCACCTGAGGGATTCTCAGTTTGCTGTGTGGATGATTAGATTTTCTAGTAATCAAAGAAGCAGGAAGGGAAGTGATCTTCCACTTCTCTTCAGCATCCTTAAAGCAACAGGCAGTGGAGCAGGTGGGGTAGGGGCAGGGCAGGGAGAGAAGAAAAGACTGTTTTACAGTAGAGGGCAGGAGGCAGTTACTGCTGCTCTGTGGTACAGGCTTCACACCTCAGTGCTGTGATAGCCCACTCTTCTAACACCCCAATAGAGACACAGGATGTGGGTGTTGGTGGAGGCACCAACTGGGTCTTACACACAGGACATGAACCCCTGCATGAGTGCAGGGCAATCTAAAATGTCTTATTTGTTTCTCTGCGTGTGGCATGTCTTTCCCGTTATAGTGTGAACTCCACTAGAGCATAGATGATGCCTTTTAAACTAGGATCTCAAGGTCAGATTTCCCCAGAAATAGACCCCTAAGTTTCATTTGGGAATGTTCTGGAGCAATACCTGTGAAAGGACTGGGTTGAGACAGGATGGAGAGCGATGCAATTCTAACAGAGGCCTTAGCCCACTCCTGGAGAGCATGGATGTGGGTTGCCCCCAGTGTAGGAAGGTGTAATCCCAGGCAAGGCCATTCCCTTCTGCTCAGGTGATTCCTGGGAAGGACCTCAGCTGAGAGAATTGGCAGCCCCGTAGCTAGAAAGGAGTGCTTCAGTCTTGAAGTGGGGTGGGCCTGGGTGGCACACAGCAGGATCCACCATAAGTGTATCCAACAGGCCTTGAAAATGCCCAGCACACAGTGATGACAGTAATAACAGCAACACTTACAGAGGGCCAGACCCTATCTTAAGCACTTTATATACATAGTAATTAGTTTTATTCTTGCAGTTATCACATGTGATAGGCACTATTTACAGACAGGAAAATTGGAAGCCCAGAGAGATGAACCAATTTGCCTGAATCACCTACTAATAAGCAGGAGAGCAGGGATGCAGGGCCAGGCAGGTGCCCTGGCTCCAGAATGTGTACTTTGAACCACTTTGATAAACTGCCTCCCCATGTTCTCTAATGACATCCCTAGAGCATGTGTTTACTGACTGAATGAATGTGGAGCTCTATCCTCTCTACCTCCTCTTTTCCAGGTCATGTGGAAGGAGGGGAGCAACAGGGGCTCCATTGAGGGGAGAAGAAACTGGAGTAACAGATTGGGATCTTTTCGGAGGAGGGGTTGGAAACTGGGTGGGAATGCCATGCCCAGCCTCCTGACTCTGTTGAGTGGGAAGGGATTCTGGGCCCCAGGAGATTAAGGGGCTTGCACAAGCATCTTTGATTCCTCTTCCCTCTCTGCAGAGTGTCCAAATCAAGAGATGGACATTGTCTTCCTAATTGACGGCTCTGGTAGCATTCATGAAAGTGACTTTAACCAGATGAAGGACTTTGTCAGAGCTGTGATGGACCAGTTTCAGGGCACCAACACTCTGGTAAATACTGGGCACTGAGACCTGATTAGGGGAGCAAGACAGACCTGGGAAGTGGGCCTGGCATCACTGGGGGTGGGATGGCTCATGGAGCTGTGTCATGATGAGGCTAGGGCCAGGGTCAAGGTCCCAGTGCAGGGCCAATTTGAGTCTGACCAATGGCATTTAATATGTATCTGTATACCACATGTTGTTTAAAAACTACAAGAATGAGATCCTAACTAGAATAAGACATACTCCATACATGTATAATATGTCAAAATATACTCTACTGTCAGGTGTATCTAAAAAGAACAAATTTTTTTTAAAAGAAAAAAAAATCATTGAAAGGAAGCTGGGTATAGTGGTGCATGTCTGAAATCCCAGTGATTTGAGATGCTGAGACAGGAGGATCACAAGTTCTAGGCCAAACTTGGCAACTTAGAAAGACCCTTAACAACTTAGTGAGACTCTGTCTCAAAAATAAAAAATGAAAACCAACTGGGGATATAGTCTAGCAGTAAAGTACCTCTGGGTTCAATTCCTAGTATCAACAAACAAACAAAAACCCAAGAAAAAAAAACATTTAAAGAACATAAAAATAATAATTTTGAGCTGTGCATGGTGGCATGTGTCTATAATCCCAGCTACTCAGGAGGCTAAGGTAGGAGGATGGCAAGTTTGAGGCCAGCCTGGTCAATTTAGCAAGGACCTGTTTCAAACTAAACTTGAAAAAGGGCTGGAAATGTAGTTCAGAGGTAGAGTGATCACCTAGCATGTGAGAAGCCCTCAGTTCAATCCCTGGTACTGTAAAAATAAAGGAAATAAAATAAAACAAAAATAATTCTGCTGTGAAGTTTGGCTGAAGGTAACTCAGCCAAGTGAGTGGTACTTTCTTCATTATGTTTTATGTATAACTCATGACTTCTTTATTACTTTCTAGTAACTAATTTGTATGTAAATACAAATTCTTAGAAAGAGAGGAAATATCTAAATTGATTTCACGTGTTATACATTTTTTAATGTAAGTTTAACAAATATTATCTTTGGCATGGCTATTCTTTGTAAATCATGAAAGAAGCATTATTTAATTTTGATTTTCCCAGTTTTCTTTTTGTGTCTTTAGAGCAATTGTCCTCCTACCCTGTGTTTCATTACATTATTTGTAGGGCCTAAAATATATGGGAACGATTTGTAAATCCAAAGTTTTTCTGAGATAAAAAGTCATTCACTAAAAATAACACCAAGGGTAACCCACAACAAGCTCTGATCCCTGGGCCCTCTGCCTTGGTCTTTGCAGTTTTCTCTGATGCAGTACTCAAACCTCATGGAGACTCACTTCACCTTCACCGAATTCCAGAATGGTTTGAGCCCTCGGAGCCTGGTGGATCCCATCATCCAAAAGAAAGGCCTGACGTTCACGGCGACGGGCATCCAGAAAGTGGTGTAAGCAACCCCCCTTGCTGTCCCTGGATGTGGCTGCCATATCACTTCCTAATGCTGAGTCAGCACAGCTCACCTCAGGCTGTGGGAAGCTCTGAAGAAAGAGGTTAAAGGAGAGTGTGGGGGCTGTAGCAGAGTCCTCCCTGGAGTGCCCCTGGCCCCTCAGTGCTAGGTTTCCCCGATATGGGACTAGATTTCTCTATAGCTGAGTTTCCCCTTTGTCTGGTTTTGGAGATGCTGAACTCTGGCAGCCCACCTGGGGCATCCAGGGGCATGGGCTTTGATTCAGATACATCTGGATTCCCTTGCTTGCTACTTGTCTGATTTGGGAGTCATTGACTCTAACTACCAATAAAATGTTAAAAAAGGGTAAACTTGTTGAGGGCTGAAATCAAGTCAAGATGGCGCCTGGCACTTTGCCAGGAGGAGTGGTCTGTGAAGCAACGCCAGCCAGCCATTAAGATGATGAGGATTCCTTATTGGTTGACTGCTGTATCTAGTTTATGTTAATTGAGTTAAGCTGTGTGTAATTAGTTAAGTATATATACCTCTGCTGTCCAGCAGAGAAGCGGCTCCTGCTATCTCAGGTGCCGCTACTTTGAGTTCTCACTAAGTTCCTGCTGAGTTCACTCGCAATAAAGTAGTTCCCGATTCAACCTTCAAGTTGCTTGTCACCTCTCGGTTATTTAACCCAGCCGGACTACGGCATAAACTCACAACTAGTCTGCAAGAATTAAATGAGATCCTAATGTTAGGGTCTTGGTCCTGGGTATACAAGGAGGTGCTAAATAAATGGCTGAGGTTTTTAATCCAGAGAATGGCACCGCTCCTCGTTACCTAACAGGCAGTGACAAGTGTCTTTTTTGTATCTTTCTTCCCACTAACCTCCTTCCATCTCCTCTCTTCTCATCCATGCATGCCCTGTGTTAACAGGACACTTATTCTGTACCTGCCCACACAGGAGTCAGGTGGTCCATGTTGAAAATGACTTAAAAGGTGGAGCTAGAAAGAAGAGGATGTGGTTCTTGTGGGAAGGAGCTGGTCTGAATGTTTTGAGTCCTTGGTTTCCTGCACACCTCTGAGTGCTGTGCTGGGTTTGGTGCTGGAATGTGGTGGGAATCATCCCAAATAAGATATGCTGCAGACAAATGTAACCTCTTTGCTTATGGGTGGTTCTTCTGCCTTGGACACTGACCCTTTGGAACTGGACAACCAAGAGGCAAACTTCTGTGAATTTAAAGTCACACAGGAATAGTCCCCTCCCTGAGTTCCTTCCTTAACACTCAAAGTTCTTCCAGTGGTGGGGCCTGGGAGGAAAGGTAAAAGAGGCAGAGGTGACATGGTTCTAACCAAGTCCAGCCCTCTTCCCCATGTCCCAGAGTGCACTGCATTTCCTAGCAGTTTCTCTGCTCCCCAGAGCCAAGTCCATCTCAGAGCTGGATCAGCTACTGCTGGGTCCTCCCTGATATTAACTGTTTTTTTTTTTTTAAATGAGCAATAGATTATTTTTTATTTTTCTCATGATATAGTTCCTATTCATAATTTACATTTTAAGTCAAAGGCTTTTTAATATAGGATGTGTGGCCATTCTAGAAAACTATAAATATGGTAGAAATAAAAAAATATAATTGTGTCACCAAAGACATCTAAAGTCAAAGTTTGGTCTATTTCTTTTTGATATTGTTTCCGGTCATAGCTGTGTATTATATTAACAACTTTATATTACCACTACTGCAATTAATGCTACCACCATATTTACCATCCACCATTTACTGAAAGAAACATTATATTGTTACCAGTCACACTACATATAAACCTGACAGTTTCATATTTTTTAAAAATACCATTTACAAATAATAAAATGGAAATTCAGAAAAGTAAAACAAGTTTTATAGGTGACGGGCTACAGTTGTAACTTCAAAGTCTTTTTAAAAAACATTTTTTATTTTTTGGTACCAGGGATTAACTCAAGGGCACTTGACCATTGAGCCACATCCTCAGCCCTATTTTGTATTTTATTTAGACAGGGTCTCGCTGAGTTGCTTAGTGCCTTATAGTTGCTGAGGCTGGCTTTGAGCTTGTGATCCTCCTGCCTCAGCCTCCCGAGCCACTGGGATTACAGGTGTGCACCACCGTGCCCGCTAAACACATTTTATTACATAAAATTTATCCTAAAAACTCTTCTGTATTCTGCTTTTTCTTAAAAATGCTTAATATCCCCCATATAATCTCCATCAATACTCTTTATAAACAGAATTTTTCATTTCTACTTTTAATTTTTTATCTTTTAAAATGTTCTTATGACTGTGACATAGTTATACGTAACAGTGGGGTTCATTTTGATATAATCACACATGCATGCAATATGATTTGCTACATTGCAGTTCCCAGGTCTTCCTCTTTCCCTCTCCTCCTCCCTCTCCCTGTTCTCCTTCTTCTACTCGACTGCAATTCTTTCTATTCACTTACTGTTTTATTAATTGATGCTTTGTATATATGCATAAAGGTAGAATTCACTATGGTATATTCATATGTGTACATAGTATAATTTGATTAATTTCATTTTGCAGTTCCCCCTTCTCCCATCCCTCCTCCCTGTCCTTCAATCCCTTTCCTCTACCGAATCACTCACTTTTCCCTTATTTTGTCTAACTTCTGCATATGAAAGAAAATATTAATGCTTGTCTTTCTGAGACTGGTTTATTTCACTTAGTAAGATGTTCTCCTGTTCCATCCATTTACCAGCAAATGCCCTAATTTCATTCTTCTTTATGGCTGAGTTAAACTCCATTGTATATAAATGCCATTTTTTTTAATGCATTCCCCTGTTGAAGGGCACCCGGGCTGGTTCATCACTTGGCTATTGCGAACTGCACTGCTGTAAACATTGATGTGCCTGTGTCACTATAGTATGATGATTTTAGTTTTTTTGGATAAATACCAAGGAGTAAGTTTCATTACTAAAAAGACAAAATGAGGATAAGATTAAGAAAATTTTTTAAAGAATTTTTATCCACAGTCTCTCTAGTTGACCACCTTATAGTTTTTTTTTTTAATTTTTATTTCATTTTTTTTAGCAATGAGAGGGATAAATAAATCCCACCTGCCTGGCAAAGGGTAATTTCCATCCTTGTCTTTATTCAGAATTTTTCTATTTAGTTCCAATAAGGGAAGAAACTATTTTCTTTTTTTTTTTTTAGTTGTTGATGGACCTTTATTTCATTTACTTATTTATATGCAGTCCTGAGAATCGAACCCAGTGTCTCACACTCTTGTAAAGGCTGACCTCCTTTATAAAGCAAGCGCTTTACCACTGAGCCACAACCCCAGCCCCAGAAACTATTTTCATCTTGTTTTTAAAAAAATCCAGGTCATATAACCGGTTTCACATTTTATCACAGTTTTCATTTGAAAAGGATGTTTATCTTTCAAAAAAGGAACTAGGTCATGATCTCCTAAATCCTTTCCCTAATGTTGGGCATTTAGATGGTTTCCAGTATTACATTTAGCATGTGTTTATTGTTTAGCCTGTGTGTGCATGTGCGTGTGGGTGTGTTCGTTCTGAGCTTATAAAGCTATATGAACATATATGTACATTTTTAACATTTTTATAGCTATTATCTAACTAATGGTTACCTGTAGGCCATTCACTGTTATAAAGGCTGACCTCCTTTATACTTCCAAAAAACCTGACACTATTTCCTTCAGTTATCTACTGTTGCTTAACAATACATTAACAAATATAGTGGCTTCACAACCCTTTTATGATTTTTCACAATCCCAGGGATGAGGCTGGCTGCCTCCTCTGCTGCTCTTGTTTAGGGTCTCTTGTGGGGCTGTGGTCAGATGTCTGAGACTGGGCTCTTGAGAGCTTCATTCATATGTCTGGTGCCTAGGGAAGGATTGGTGGGACAGTTGGGTTCAGTTGGGGCAAGTGGGTCCCTTCTGTGGTCTCCTTCCTTGTGACCACTCCATAAGGTACCTCCAAAAGGGTAGCCAGACTTCTCTCACTGTGGCTCAGGACTCCCCAAAGTGCAAAAGCAAAAGATATGAAGGATTTTTAGGCTCACCAATGTCATAGTGTTACTCTTACTGCATGCTACTATTGAAAGTGAGTCACAAGCCAGGCCAGGTTCACTGTGGGAGGAGAACCAGCTGTGGTTCTGTACTCTCATCTGGTATAGAAAGAAGCAGAGGTTCAGAGGTTCAATAATTTACTCAAAACATGTCTGATTCCAGAGCTTCCACTTTGAACCATACTGCCTGCTGGGACTGAAGTTCAGTAATAGAATTTTAAGAAAAAAATTATATGAGTACTCTTATTATTGGGCTTACTAATTATTGCCAGTATTTTTTTTAAAAAAAGACTGAATCATTTCCTTAACATGCCTGATGGAGTCTGGCATGTCCTGGGGTCAGGACTCCCCAGTTTTTCCAGATGAGCTTCTTGTGCTAATGATATCTTTTCATAATCAATCATATCTCAGTAGAGTCATTTCCCTTTCCTTCCTGACAGGAGAGAGCTATTTCATAGCAAGAATGGGGCCCGAAAACGTGCCAAGAAGATCCTCATTGTCATCACAGATGGGCAGAAGTATAGAGACCCCCTGGAATACCATGATGTCATTCCCCAGGCAGAGAAAGCTGGCATTATCCGCTATGCCATTGGGGTATGGCCTCTTCTACATTGCTCCCTCAGACTCAGCCTAGTAAAGGCCAGTGGGTTCCTCCTCCTCAGCTACCTCTCTGCTGCAGGTGGGAGATGCTTTCCAGGAGCCCAGTGCCAGACAAGAACTGAGCACCATTGGCTCAGTACCCCCTCAGGAACATGTGTTTGAGGTGGACAACTTTGCAGCACTCAGCAGCATCCAGAAGCAGCTTCAGGAGAAGATCTTTGCAGTCGAAGGTACTTGAGCATTGGAGTTGAAGGGGTTCCCCACCCAGTTGTCCCTTGTAGTCTTGACAGTGCATCCCTGTTTACAACTAACCCCAAATTAATCCCTAGAACCTGAGTCACAAGCCTATGATCTCTTCCTTCTGCTTTGAAGCTTCATGATCTCATGGCTTTGAAGAACCTGTTTCCCTACAGGAACCCAATCGAGGACAAGTAGCTCCTTTCAGCATGAGATGTCACAAGAAGGCTTCAGTTCAGTGCTCACAATGGTGGGTACAGTGTGTACTTGATAAACAGGTCTCAAGCATCAGCTCTGGGCCAGCCCTGGGCTGGGAGCTGGAACCCAAAAGTAAATAAGAAGCAGATCTGGTCCTCAAGTTCACTGTCAGATCAGGGAGAACATCAGGCAATGCATTTGGTGCTAGAAGAGGAAATTCAGGGCTTCTATACTCTTGGAGGGCATATTCTTGTGGGCAGAGAATACAGACAAAAGAGTTTTGGACTGTGCTGTTGGGGTAGGAAAAGAAAGGTGGTCAGAAGAGGCTGAATGATTAAAAAAAAAAAGAACAAGCCTATGGAAAATCTGGGGAAAGATTGCTTTAGGTAGAGGCAAAAGCAAGTGCAAAAGTCTTCAGGCAGAGACAAAGTTACTGTGATGGAGCAATCAGAAGGGCCAGCATAGCAGGAGCAGAGGGAACAAGAGACAGCAAGCAAGGAGAGGACTAGAGAAATGGGAAATACCAGACAGGGCAGACCAGAGAGTTGACAATACAGTGAGACTTGTCTGAAAATAGATGTGTGTTCAAATTATCCAGAAGGATTGGTTTCAGAATAATTTGCAGTGAGCAGGGAGTGGTAGACATTAAACAAGGTTGGTCATGAATTGATCACTGAAGCTAGGTCAGGATTATTAGAGGTTAATGAAATCAAAAGTTCAAAAAAGCAATAAACTAAGTTCACTGAGGAGAAAATAAGAATTGTTTCCTGAGGGTGCTAAGGAATTAGTCACAGAGGAGATGGTTTTGAGGTTGACGGTTGGAGAGAGAGAGGAGCGGAGAATAAGGGAGAGAAGTGGCTAGGTCAAAAGTTTAGTGGGGTTCAGAACAGAGAATAACTTCAAGGGTTTGCTTGCAAAGAGTCCCAGATGCCATTCTAAGGGCTTGGCAATGGTTTTCCAGCAGAATGATGCCTGCACATTTGGGTTTGGGGATGTCGATTGCTTGGGTAAGAGAAGGTAGAGCAGACAAGAGCAAAGTAGGAAGCAGAAAGGGCAGGGGTGAAGGTGGGAACAGTGGCAGTGGGGATGGACTTAGAGATACTAGTGGTTGGGGTACAGAGGGTGCTGGTGAGCACTAAAGAAGAAAACTTGAAATGATCAGAGGAGTTAGGGGAGGGCATTTCTTTGGCTTAGGCTGCCTTCTTGCTTTGTTCTGCTCAGACCTGGAATCTTTTCCTCCCAGGATGGACCAGTACTGGGGGCTGTGGGGAGCTTTAGCTGGTCTGGAGGTGCCTTCCTGTACCCCCCACATATGAACTCCACCTTCATCAACATGTCTCAGGAGAATGTGGACATGAGGGACTCTTACCTAGGTGAGAAAAGGCTGTGGTGGGGGACAGGTGGGTGACAAGCTGTGGGAAGGGGAGGAGAAGCCTTAGTGTTGACGCTGGGCCCCCTCAGGTTACTCCAGTGAGCTGGCCCTTTGGAAAGGGGTACACAGCCTGGTCTTGGGGGCCCCTCGCCACCAGCACACTGGGAAGGTTGTCATCTTCACCCAGATATCCAGGCAATGGAGGCCAAAGGCTGAAGTCACAGGGACCCAGGTTGGTGTGGAAGACCATGTTGGTTGAACATGAGGGCGGACAGGGTGGCTAGGAGCAGGGAGCTGATAGGGCAGGTCCTGGTACCTGGGGAGAGGCAGGACCTGGCCCAGAAAGGAGGTGCCTCTGGCAGGGGCAGGCAAGATGACTTCAAACTCTCCTCCCAGGTCGGCTCCTATTTTGGGGCCTCCCTCTGCTCTGTGGATGTGGACAGCGATGGCAGCACCGATGTGGTCCTCATTGGGGCTCCCCATTACTACGAGCAGACCCGAGGAGGAGGGCAGGTGTCCGTGTGCCCCATGCCCAAGGGGGTGAGTGATGATGGGACCTGGGCTGGGTGGGGCCCGTGTGAGGTGTGGATTGCCTGGATTGGACCTGGCACTGGTTTTTGTTCTGTAGAGGAGCAGATGGCAGTGTGAGATCATTCTCCGTGGGGAGCAGGGCCATCCCTGGGGTCGCTTTGGAGCAGCTCTGACAGTGCTGGGGGATATCAATGGAGACCATCTGGTAGATGTGGCCATTGGGGCCCCTGGAGAGAAGGAGAACCAGGGTGCTGTTTACTTATTTCATGGAACCTCAGGATTAGACATCAGTTCCTCCCACAGCCAGGTAAGAGCCCCTGTTTTCAGCCTCTTATGGTCCTCCTCCCTTTCAATGACGTGTATTTACTGAGCACAGCCTCCTGTCACAAGCCTTAGGAGTTGTCATTTCCCTTCTTCTTTTGGTTGCCCTTTCATTCCTTTTCTTTTGCAGCATGGGGGATTGAACTCAGTTCAAACTCAGTTTACCTCGCACATGCCAGGCAAGCACTCTACTACTGAGCTACATCCCCAGCTCAGTAGTTTATTTTCTTGAATTTCACCAGACCCAGCTAAACAATCATCTGTCTTGGTTCCAAACAGCCTTCAATCTATTGTGAACAGCTTAATGGTAAGAGATCAGACTTTGAGGTCAGGCCCCTTGTCAAATTCCTGGCCTTACCAGCCATCAGTAGCTGTATGGCCTCAGGCAAGTGGCTAGCTTAGCCTCTGGGAGCTTTAGTGTCCTTCTGTGGAACGTGACAACCATCAAACCAACTTCCCGGGCTTCTTGTAAAGAAAATACAATGGATGCACTAAGCACGCCATTCATCAAATATTTATGAATGAACATAGCAAATGATGAATAAGCAAATTGATTATTTTGCTATTTTTAGGCTCCTATTTTACTGTTAGCCTGTAGACTCATGATGAGTTGAACCAAAAGCTCTCCCTTCCATCTGGGGGTCCCTGAGGTCCTCACCCTGTTTTCTTTCAACTCACGCCCCTTCATCTCTCCTTTTCAATTTCTGTATTCAGGTCTGCTTTCACTACAAGCTGTTTCCAAATCTGCTTATCAAATCTTTGCAATCACCTCCCTTGAATTCCACTTTTTCTTTCCCTCTATGGCCAGCGGATCACTGGCTCCCAGTTCTCCTTAAAGCTCCAGTATTTTGGGCAGTCGCTAAGCGGTGGTCAGGACCTCACTCAGGATGGACTGGTGGACCTGGCTGTGGGGGCCCAAGGGCACGTACTACTCTTCAGGTGACAACTCCCCAACATGCTGCCCTCGCCTGCTATGTGTCTGATTAACCAGTGCTCTCCCCTACCTTAGTCCCCTCTCAGAGGCCAGTGTCCTGCCCTCAGCACCTACTTATGCCCCTCAGGAGCCTGCCAGTGCTGAAAGTGGGAGTAACTATGAGATTCACACCCATGGAGGTGGCAAAGGCTGCGTACCAGTGCTGGGAAGAGGTGTCCACCTCCCTGGAAGCTGTGGAGGCCATGATCTGTCTCACTATCCACAAGAGCTCACTTGACCAGTTAGGTAAGGCCCAGTCCCTTGTCCCATTAGAGGACTCCAAGGCTATTCTAAGAACAGAATGGGCTCAGGAATCCAAATCTCATCACCGTATCTGCTCAGCTACCTGTGTGTCAGAAACCTGGGTCCTTTCCCTCCCTTCTTCTCACACCTACACCTGGGGTTCCATCCCCAGGGTAGGTATGGAGTCTGCCCACTTCTTTCTCCTGGCCCTAGACATTGCCTTCCTGTAAGCCACCACTTCTCCTTCCCACCTACACCAAAATAAAGACACTTTGAGCAGTTCCTCTGTCTATTTTTGCACCCTCACTCATTCTTCACAGATGAGGGGATATTAGAACTCATTTGGTCCTAATATGCAAATCTGGGCTCCTCAACCCTATCTCTTAAGACCCCTAAATTGCTCCCACTTGAATCTATAAAGACCTGAATCCTTCCCTGCAATGTCCTCTCTGACTTGGTCCCTCCCTCAATCTTCTCTCACCTCATTCCACTTTTTTTTCTCTCTCTCTCTCTCTCTCTTTTTTTTTGTACCCAGGGGTGAAAAACATACCCAGCCCTTCTTATATTTTATTTTATTAAATAAATATAACTCAGGGTCTCACTGAGTTGCTTAGGGCCTACTTAAATTGCTGAGGTTGGCTTTGAACTAGTGATCTTCCTTCCTTAGTCTCCTGAGCAGTTGGGATTACAGGTGTGCGCCACCACATCTGGCTCACTCCTCCTTTCTCTATACATTTTTGGTAAATGTGCCAGCCTCCCTCTCCCTTGGAGACTTAGCTACTCTAGCCACAGTCTGGGACATTCTCCTCTCTGTGCTTCACCCTCTGGGTTGTAGCTTAGATATGGTCTATCTAGGACAGCATCCCTGACCAAGATACTACTCATGCTGTGACATTATGGCCATATGACAACATATGACATATGTTTGGCTCTTTTCCTGGAATATAAGCTTTATGAGGGCAGGGTCATATCCATCTTCTTCTCAGTGTGTATCCCCAGCACTTGGTACAGTTCATGGCCCATAGAAAGTGCTCTACAAATATTCATCTCATGAACAAATAAATGAAAAGAGAACATTGTAGGTTTTTTCTGCCTTTCCTTTTTCTACTTCTTTCACTTCAGGTGATGTCCAAAGCTCTGTCAGGTATGATCTGGCTTTGGATCCGGGTCGTCTGATTTCTCGTGCCATTTTTAATGAGACCAAGAACTCGACTTTGACTCGAAAAAAAACCTTGGGGCTTGGGGATCACTGTGAAACCGTGAAGTTGCTTTTGCCAGTAAGGACTTTGGGTTTTGGAAAAGGGAGAGGGAGGAGGATCTCAAGGCTAGCCTATAGAATCCATGGGTGAGGACACTGGGTCTGGAGAGAGGAAGGTTGGGGCGGGAGGACTTGGCTTCACAGCTTGGTTGGGCTACTGTCTAGATGCAGTGAAAAATCCCCAGTGGTGGAAAGTAGGAAGGATGGTGGGTTCTTGAAAACCCATTCTCTTTCAGGACTGTGTGGAAGATGTGGTGAACCCCATCATCCTGCGCCTCAACTTCTCCCTGGCGAGAGACTCCACCTTATCCCGGAATCTTCACCCTGTGTTGGCTGCAGGCTCACAAGACCTGTTCACTGCTTCTGTGAGTCTTCCAATGAAGTCCCAATGAAGTCCCAGAGATGTGATGGCTTTCTTAAGAGCCCACAATAGCCCACCCACCACATTTCCTAGCCTCCACCCAGCAAAGGAAAACCCTGCCACGTTTGGACCCTGAAACATATCCCAGTTGGTTACCTACTTTACCATGACATAAACTCTCTTGTTCTCATTCTACTGATCCTTCCCAACTTTTTTCAGCCCTCCCTGTCAGACTTTGTATTCTATCCCCAATTTGAAAAACATTTCCTCCTTCTATCTAAAGGATCTTCTCAAATTCTCCAAGCTCTGATCTTGACACCTTCTCTTTTTTGGGGGGAGGGTGATTATTGAGGATTGAACTCAGGGGCATTCAACCACTGAGCCACATCCCCAGCCCTATTTTGTATTTTATTTAAAGACAGGGTCTCACTGAGTTGCTTAGTGCCTTGCGGTTGCTGAGGCTGGCTTTGAACTCGTGATCCTCCTGCCTCAGCTTCTCAAGCTGTTGGGGTTTACAGGCATGTGACACCACGCCCAGAGACTCATTCTCTTTTGAAAACCTGCACTCAACAGTTCTCACTTCTCTGGCCCCCAATTACTCCATGATTACAAAAACATCCCAAATATACACATCAGGGGAATCATAACCATCTGCATATACATTTGCATCTGTCTTGGGGATTGTATGTTCCTTGAGTACAAGAACCACATCTAATTTGCCTGAAGTTTTCATTTCCTCCAAACTGCCAAAGCCTGTCCTGTTACTGGCACTTAATGTTTGTTGAATAATCTGATTTGATACAACTGGACTTTATTGTCCTTGAAGCCAAGGATATTGTCTTTTTTTTTTAAGTTTAGTTGTAGATGAACACAATAACTTTATTTATTTATTTTAATGTGGTGCTGAGGATTGAACCCTGTGCCTCACACGTGCTAAGGCAAGTGCTCTACCACTGAGCCAGAACCCCAGCCCTTGTCTTTTTTTATATTCTAACCTCCACACCCAATCTCTACTCTTGCTAGTATCAGTAGAGTACTGGGTGCAGAGGTTCAGTAAGAGTCAATGTTGATAAGCATGTTTAATGAGGGGGCTGAAGAAAGATTAAAACATGGAATGAGAAGAGAATATATACTGATTTTCTGCAGCTTCCCTTTGAGAAGAACTGTGGGCAGGATCACATCTGTGAGGGGGACCTGCGTGTCAACTTTAGCTTCTTAGGGTGAGCTCCATCTCCTTTCATATCCAGATATTCAAGTTTCTGAGTTTACTAAACTCCTAGGATGATTTGTGCTTCTCTTCGGGTGTTTGTCTAACAAAAATGATTCTGACAGGAATGTTATTGGTGCATGATTCATGAGTTCCCCAAATCCTGTTCCTGCCCCTCGATCCAATTACAACCTACTTCCAGAGGAGTCACACTCCCAATCTTGTCCTTCCCTTCAGCCTACAGACATTGATGGTAGGAAGCTCCCTGGAGCTCAATCTGATAGTGACTGTATGGAATGAGGGTGAGGATTCCTATGGAACTGTAGTCAACTTCTACTACCCAGCAGGACTATCCTATCGCCGGGTGTCAGCAACACAGGTAAACACCTTCCTTGGGCTCTAGCTGACTGGGGTCTTGTATTAGTCTGTTTTCTGTTGCCTGAAACAAAATGCCACACACTGGGTAAATTACAAAGAACTGTTTATTTTGGCTCACTATTCTGGAGGTGCATGGTCAAGGGGCCACATCTGATGATGGTTTTCTTGTTGGAAGAATCCTAAGATAACGCAAGCCATCATATGGCAAGAGACAGAAAGTAAATGTGTGTATGTGTGTTGGTCTAGTCTCTCTTCTGTTTCCTATAAAGTCACCAGGATGCAATTGTGGGACACCCCACCCCAATAACTTTATCTAATCCTAATTGCTTTCCCAAGGCCTTGCCTCTAAATACCATAGTCAGATTAAGTTTCCACACTCTTAATACATAACAATGGAGATTATATTTAAAAGCATGGAACATTCAAACTGTATCCAAAACAAAGCAGGCTCCTCCACTGTCCTATACTTTCTAAGTGATCACACACACACACACACACACATACACATAGAGGGAGACAGAGAAGTCATTAAGCCTATGTATAGTTTAATAAATTATATTAAGCAAAAGTTCATAAATTTAACACCTGGGTCAAGAAATAAAACACTGCTAGTTTTCTCAAAGTCTTCTTACCATGTACCTTATCCTATCACAATCACAACCTTTCCCCAAGGGTAATCACTATTCCAACTTTGCGATAATAATTTCCTTGTATTTTTAAATAATTTTACCAATCCATGGGTGTATCCCTAGATAACATTCTTCAGTTTTGCTGCTATTTGAACTTTATATGAATGAAAACATGTTATATGTACTCTTTTGTGCCTTGCTTCTTTACCTCAATATTATGTTTGTGAGATCCATCCATGCTGTTGCATGTGGGGGTAGAATATTTTCATTGTTATACAGAATTTCTTTGTATGAAATGTACCACAATTTATTTTTCCATTCTACAATTAATAGCCATTGAATTGTTTCCTGATTTTGGCCATAATTGAGTAAATCCTGGTGTACCTATACATAATATTTTGAAGACACAGAATTACTGAGTATATTATTACTATATATATATATATAAAATGACACGCATTATATAAAATATATATACATTATATATTATATATATCATGCAATATACAATATATTTATATAATTTATATAAATTTATATATTTAAAAATAATTATATAAATATAATTTACATTAAAT